CATTATGTGCACAATGTTCATGTTTCTCTAATGAATAATAATTTGGATTTTCGCTTTTTTCTTTTATAGTAATTTCTTGTCAGATTCTGTGGACTGCTGATGAAAAGTTATCTCCCATACACTGACTGCCAGGCATTGCTATTATAGTATGACAAGTGACCAGTTATTTACAGTAAAATCTGACTGTTGTATATAATGAAAAGTTATCTCCCATACACTGACTGCCAGGCATTGCCATTAGGTATCACAGTACCAATTATTTTTCCATACATGGCAATGCTGATGTTCTGTGAAATAAATATTCTTTCTATCCTGCCTCAGCATGCATGTCACACCCTGTCACAGAGAACAATGTTAGTTTGTTAGTTTGATAACAACAAAAAATAGATATTCCATTGCATTTACAAGAGATAACTCTGCTGGAACTAGACACGGGTAAGAGTTATCTAGTTACACTGGACACATTTTCAGTCATGTATACCACATTTTAAAAAATCTTAAAAAATACAAAATGTGATCTAGATATAAATTAACATAATCTCACATGTTGCCAAGAGGCTCAACTTTTTTTAATACTTAACAGAAAGTACAACTCTTTCATAATGCATCAATCACAGCTAGTTTTGTTGTTTATTTCTGAATGCAATGTTCCCTACACCTTAAGCTCTGTCCACCTGGGGTTGTACAATTGGTACCATTATACCATTACTGTATGACAAGTGACCAGTTATTTACAGTAACATCTGACTGTATATTGAAAAGTTATCTCCCATACACTGACTGCCATGCATTGCTATTACAGTATGACAAGTGACCAGTTATTTACAATAACATCTGACCCTATACTGAAAAGTTATCTCCCATACACTGACTGCTGCTAGGCATTGCTATTACAATATGACAAGTGACCAGTTATTTACAATAACATCTGACCCTATACTGAAAAGTTATCTCCCATACACTGACTGCTAGGCATTGTTATTACAGTATGATAAATGACCAGTTATTTACAATAACATCTGACCCTATACTGAAAAGTTATCTCCCATACAATGACTGCTAGGCATTGCTATTATAGTATGACAAGTGACCAGTTATTTACAATCACATCTGACCCTATACTGAAAAGTTATCTCCCATACACTGACTGCTAGGTATTGCTATTACAATATGACAAGTGACCAGTTATTTACAATAACATCTGACCCTATACTGAAATGTTATCTCCCATACACTGACTGCTAGGCATTGTTATTACAGTATGATAAGTGACCAGTTATTTGCCATAACATCTGACCCTATACTGAAAAGTTATCTCCCATACACTGACTGCTAGGCATTGTTATTACAGTATGATAAGTGACCAGTTATTTACTGTAACATCAGACTGTATTCATGGAGTCTCAAGTATTCATTTATCACTTTTTTATGTTATCTGTATTTATGAATTCAAATATAGGTATTTTTTTGGTATTCATGATATAATGAGACATCAATTTTTATTTGTTTTATTTATGTTCATAAACTTTATTTATTATTATTATTATTATTATTATTATTATTATTATTATTATTATTATTATTATTATTATTATTATTATTATTATTATTATTATTATTATTATTATTATTATTATTGTTGTTGTTGTTGTTGTTTTTATTCTGGTTCTTGTTGTAGTTGTTATTATTATTGTTATTGTTATTATCAACTCATAACAGATATTATAAATTTCCTCACATGTGTCAGTGCTAAACTGCATACTGTAGATCTCTGTATTTATGTTCAATATGGCAATATGTGCAGATTATGTAAGCTTGTCCAATATTTGGATCTTATACACACACGTAATTAATCAATATTCATTTCTTATTCAAGTCATACATCAATAAACATTGCATTTGTGTCACCATCAAAAGTCCATCTCAGTTATCTTGTTACAATGTTGTCCATAGTATTTGTTTTTAAATTCCAGCAGCATTTGACAGGTTTGTTAGATTACATTAGAAATGTATATGGTGATGTGTTGAGTCCTTTTTGAAGCAAAGACTGTCAAACTCCTAGAGAAAGTGGCCAGGTTTGAGGGCTGGTCTCATTTTACATTATAATTGCATTGGAAATCTTCATGTAAGATAATTATCTAAGATTCTAATTAAAGGACAAACTCAAGCAATTTTCCCAGAATAAAATGAAATTACTATAATCATGTTTGATCACTTTTGTAAAAACATTTGGAGCTTCGGTATGTATACAGTTAGTTGCTGTGTATTTCATCTGTCAGACCTACAAATGACAGAGTAATTCACTTTGACAGGTATGTAAACATTATATACTTCTAAATTGTCCAAGCATATATCTGCATTAAGAAATATTACCTATATTGTCAAAGACAAATAAGCCCAATTTTCTTGGCAAATGAGGGTGGTGATTCTTAGTCCAGCATTTATGATGAGATCTGTGGTGATTCATTGTTTTGAATGCTGGCTATAATAAATTTGTTTGTAGATTCAAAGTTTGCCCTGACCAGCCTGGGTGAGACTTGTAATTTATTATGACAGGACACTTCACCCTGACCAGGCTGGGTGAGACTTGTAACCTGTTTTGACAGGACACTTTACCCTGACCAGCCTGGGTGGGACTGTTGTAACCTTGTTTTGACAGGACACTTCACCCTGACCAGGCTTGGTGAGACTGTTGTAACCTGTTTTAACTGACCCTGACCAGGCTGGGTGAGACTGTTGTAACTTGTTTTGACAGGACACTTTTCCATGACCAGCCTGAGTGAGACTGTTGTAACCTGTTTTGATAGGACACTTTTCCATGACCAGCCTGGGTTTGTAAATATCCTTCTGAATATTTTAAATTTATCAATTTTCATATAACTCAGATAAAGTTTGAGTGAGTTACCTGTATATTGATGAAAAAAGAATTCTGTGAAGTTCTCATTAACTTGTATTTTGATTGATTTTGAGCAGATAATTATTATTTGTTAAATTCTAAACTCCTAAAATTGAAATCTATACCTATTTCAGAGTTTGATAGGTCAACATTGATCTAGATAAGATTGATGTATGTAGGTACAAACAATCTAAATTTCCTCACTTCAGACTAATGGGCATGAAATATTGCTAAAGTTTGACAGATGGCATAGGCTAATCTACATCTGTGGACTTGATCTGCCATTAATTATATGAATTGGTCATTCCTGGTCAACCTCAACTCAGGGAATGTTCTGTGAGATGATACTTGACTCCAATTCACCATCAGATGTGTCCCATGTAGTACTCTCCTCTTATCTGTCCTGCCAGAAAATGGAAGTACATGCGCACACATTCTAGTCAGAATTTTACATTAATCTTTCTTCTGGTGCAGTTGTCTTTATCAGGGCTTGGCTTTGCTGGATCCTAAATTTTCTTTTATCAGAGTTTAATAGGACCAGTGGAATTCTGCTGCCCTCCCCCAGGTTCTGATAGTCTGTTACACATGCAGGTGTTCAGTACATTTTGGAGCAAAAATTCACTTTTTTGAAACCCTAGTTCAACTTTAATTTTACTTTTTACTATTATTCTTAGTAGGAAATATAATATAAAGGATATTGTTTATATTTTTCCCCCAAAGTAAAAATTCATTTCACATTTTTGACTGTCAAAATACTTTCAATCTTTCATGAAGAAAGGAGCTATAGCTGGGTAATTATCCATAGCTTCCAATTTTATAGGACATATAGTGCTGCTTTGGAATGAACAGGACCATCCTTGTCATTATGATATCATTATGAATTGATTATAATTTTGATTGTTATTAGGACTATCAGTATGATTCTGATTATAATCATCCCTATCATTTACAGTTATTATTATTATGATTGTCATTAGAATTATCACCATGATTTTCTTTTAATTGTATGTATTTTAATAATTATGACGATGATTATATATTCTAAGTATCATTATCATTATTTATTATGATTGTAATCAAATTTATTATGATGATTATTATTCTAAAAATGATTGTGATTATTTTTTTAAGTATTAGTATTATTATGATCATGATTATGAGTAAGGTTGAACTATCATTATGATTATCACTGAATATTATTATTATTATTATTATTACTATTAGTAGTAGTAGTAGTAGTAGTAGTAGTAGTAGTAGTATTTTTAGTAGTAGTAGTAGTAGTAGTAGTAGTAGTAGTAGTAGTAGTAGTAGTAGTAGTAGTAGTAATAGTGTGATTATGGTTGTTGCTGTTATTAATAATTTTCAATGTTGTATGTCCTATTTGTGATATCACATACACATGATAGACCTAGATTTGCTATTGCATCATGCATGGACAGATCAGTGTCAAAGTGGTTTCTTAAACTGGAGTTGGTATTTCCATCTGTCACAATTTTGTTTATTTAATATATCCAGATCCCTGGATATATCTTCATGAAACTTGGCATGCTTTTCTGCATGGACTAGATACTGTATATTGTATTTAAAAAAATGGAATTTGCCTGGTCAGCAATGTATGACTGCCAGTTTATTACAAATTATGTCTATGTATCCATTTATCCATCCAGTCACCTAACTGTCATGTTCTTAGTTCATATGGGTTTTGTTATATTATTTTAGGGGGGGGGGCCGATCTAGTTCTACTTTCCATTTCAAGCAAACAGGTAAAACATAGATAAGCTGTCACATAATGCATGAGCAGATCAGTGTCATTGCTTGTTCTACTTGCAGTCAGTCAATCAGTATAGACCTAGATTTGCATTTACATACTGCATGGGCAGTTTAGGGATGTTTTTGTTTATTCTATTTATGATGTCAGGCAACAAGCATGGACCTAGATTTGCCACCATGTAATACATAGGATCAACCATCCCATAATGCAACACCAAATCTTGGACTATATAGTATATGGATGGGTGCACATAATTCATAGATAAATAGTGTCTTATAGCTTATTATGTATACTGTTATCATTTCATTAATGCAATGTGTATTCCTGGTCATTGACCTCTCTGGTGGCTTAGTGGTTAGAGCATCTGCTCCTGATGTGGGAGGTGGTGGGTTTAAACCCCAGCTGAGTCATACCAAAAACTTCTAAAGCTACCTCAATTGGCATTCAGCATTAGGAGGTAAGTGTTAGGACTGTTTGGCCTGTTGTCAGGATAATATGAATGGGTGGCACATCATGTAACATGTCTGTAGCATGATGCCCCAGTGCTTGACATAACTTTAAAATGTCACACTGCAGATAGTGTAGCAATATGACTGAAATATTGTTAAAGGTATGTTAAAAATCTAAATCACACATACACACACACACACTATTCCTAATCATCTCATTGATCTAGTCCTGTAATTAGCAACATTAAAGTCATGACTTTATATTTATTTGAGATCCACTGACTTCACCAATTTGTATTTTGTCAAAGTCCACTGAATTGACCACTTTGTATTTCTTTCAAGTCCACTTTTAAAGTCCACTGACTTTACCACTGCATTTCCTTAAAGTTCACTGACTTTACCACTTATTTCTTACCACTTTTTATTTCTTTGAAGTTCACTTTTAAAGTCCACTGACTTTACCACTTTGTAGTTTTGTAAGGTCCACTGACTTTTTGTCCTCATTGATAATTAACCTAACACTGGAGACCTTAGGTGATTTACAGGTGCTTTAGAAGCCTGTCAGACATGTGGGTGTGGGTCACCTGGCAGATTGTAACTATAATATCATATACAAAAATTCCAATTAGCAAAATTTGTTTCAACATTTTTCAACCATTTATCTTGAAAGTTTGAAATATACACCAGAAACTGTAACACTTATTCACATGAGAAAGTGTCAATGTAAAATACTGATTTGTTTGCAATGTTATGCAAATGAGTAGGCATAATTTTCTTTACTTTGGCAATATGTCAGTTGTTTGTACTTACAGGCATTTTATTGTAATGTGGCAATATGTCAGTTGTTTGTACTTACAGGCATTTTATTGTAATGTGGCAATATGTCAGTTGTTTGTACTTACAGGTATTTTATTGTAATGTGGCAATGTGTCAGTTGTTTGTACTTACAGGCATTTTATTGTAATGTGGCAATATGTCAGTTGTTTGTACTTACAGGTATTTTATTGTAATGTGGCAACAGGACAGTTGTTTGTACTTACAGGCATTTTATTGTAAGGTGGCAATATGTCAGTTGTTTGTACTTACAGGTATTTTATTGTAATGTGGCAATAGGACAGTTGTTTGTACTTACAGGCATTTTATTGTAAGGTAGCAATATGTCAGTTGTTTGTACTTACAGGTATTTTATTGTAAGGTGGCAATAGGACAGTTGTTTGTACTTACAGGTATTTTATTGTAATGTGGCAATAGGACAGTTGTTTGTACTTACAGGCATTTTATTGTAAGGTGGCAATATGTCAGTTGTTTGTACTTACAGGTATTTTATTGTAATGTGGCAATAGGACAGTTGTTTGTACTTACAGGCATTTTATTGTAAGGTGGCAATATGTCAATTGTTTGTACTTACAGGTATTTTATTGTAATGTGGCAATAGGACAGTTGTTTGTACTTACAGGCATTTTATTGTAAGGTGGCAATATGTTAGTTGTTTGTACTTACAGGCATTTTATTGTAATGTGGTAATATTTCAATTGTTTGTATTTATAGGCATTTTATTGTAATGTGGCAATATGGAGTAGGTAGTGTGTAAAAAAGACCTTGATGAGAATGTTGGTGATAATATTGGTGATGACAGTGTTGTTAATGATGATAGGCTGGTATCACTAGTATAGTAACACTATTTGTATTGTACATGGACAGGACATATATAGTAGTGGGGGATGGTAGTCATTGTGGTGATGGTGTTGGTACTTTTCGTAAAGAAGGAAGTGGTGGCATCAAGTATCTGAAAATTATATTTGACTTATATTAGATGCCAGCAGTCACAAAATTTCAGAAAAAAACTCTTTTCTCTCTCTCGAATGCTTTGTTTTTCTTTTTTGTCAATGCCTTTCAGAAGGTCCCCTGTGTCATATCCTGTTAGTTTCAATTCCATAAAATATCTAGAGAATGCAAAGAGATTAGAATTGTACAGCTTATAAGTCAAGTCCACCTGGAAATAACTAGACACCAGTCTGCCATTTCATATGTTTGTTCTGCTGAGTACTCCTAACAAAACTGTATAGACTCCGATTTGTCTGCACATTATGTTACAGCATATATGGGTCTGTTCAGTTTGCAGTTGGACTCAACTTAGAGGAGTGTGCACATGGTATCTAAGAAATGTAAACATTATTTAACCTTTGCAGTCATCCAAAACTGCCTTCTGTAATATACATTTTCCTGCTAGCTTTGCACCTGTTATTTCAATCAGGATGGCTGACGTCTAGCATTAGCCTTGAGGAAACTAGTCTGTTTGGAAAATTAACTTTGACTTCTTTGTGAATTGACAACCCCTAATTAGTGAAACTTCTGACACACTTGTAGCTGATACAATTTTTGGAATGTGTTTTTCACCATCAAACTTTTACTCTAGTTTTACTGAAAGTCTGTATTTTAATTTCTTCAAACTGTTTAAGGATTTCACAATTCCAGTTAGTCACAATATTCTTTGTGAAGAGAGTGATCCCCCACTTTAATGGCCATGACCTTTCTGCCAACTCTATTATAACTTGTGTATGGTCATTGTTTGTTTGGTTTTTAGTTTAATGACATTTTTCAGTAAATAGTCATCAGTATATTTGGTGGAGATATGACCCAAGAACTACCATAAACCTGCAGAAGCTATCAGCAAAGCTTTCTTACCTACCCACTTAGACTGAATTGAACTTTAACCCTGGTGGATGGAGACAAGATGAGTGCCATAAAAGCAGGTCATATGACCACTCCACAACCCAGGACCCAGGTATGGTCATAGATATAATTAAATTGTTTCAAATTTGTTTCTATATTTGCTAATTGAATTATTTCATTTAATTTAGAATTTTGTTCATGTTTAATGAGAACCAATTATTATGTGATTCAAAATTTGTTTTGAATTCCTTATGTTTGTTTCTTGTTCATTATTGTGACACAGTCTTGCTATGACATTCCTCACTATAACACTCCCTCACTTTTAATGTGTGGTATATGTATGACTGTCATGTCCAGTGTTATAAAATGAAACAATGCCTTAGAAAATGAGATAGATAATAAAAAAAATCATGCCAAATTAGCCCCCAGCAACAGTTCTGAAGAGTTTCTGTTTTTGAATAGCAGAGGTCATGGTTACAAAAAGTATTACAATCAGATGTAAATTTCAAAGATAAAATAAGTCTGTTACTATGGACATTTCTTCGGCTTTTCACAAACCTATATCAAGGAAAGTGCTGGTCTAAACCTTGACATGTTTTTACAGACTGTTCTTCAGCTTTACACAAACCTCTGTCAAGAAAAGAGTGCTGGTCTGAACCTTGACACTGTTATTTATTCCCATGTAAGACAAATTATTTATGTTAGTGGTAAAATAATCAGGAGAAAGGTTCAAGGTACAGCCAGATCCTTGTGTTTGTGGCATACAAATTCACCCTCACTTAGAAACAGCATAAATCATTGTTGAAATTATTGTAAAATTTTACATTCACAAATTTATGCTACAGTTATCAAAATATCTCAAATTAATATTTTGAACTTTTTGAATTCAAAAAGTTCTTAATAAATCCTCTTTTTTAAAAAAATTAATTTAAAAAAATGAGGACCTTTTTTTTAGCCAATGCATCAATGTGTACAGATGGTTGGAAAGAAAGAGACAAAGTTTGTGCTGCCAGCTCAATACCCCATGACACTGTCTTTGGGTTATTTTTGGATCTGGATATTTTAAAAGCCTCAATTTTTACTTCAGACAGTAATCATATGCTAAGCTTTGAACTATCTTTCATCATCTTTTCAGGTTTTCTTTCAATTTTCATAGCCTTGCAGAATCTTAAATCTGACAAGCCATTAAAGTACTATGTACTGTTGGCTGCATAGTCACATTGGTATAAAGGGAAATGAATGGACACCTAAAGCAGCCAAAGCTACCATGCAGTCAGCCATATCCAAATGGTAGATTCCATATACATGTACGGATTTCAAATACTGCACAAATTAGCATATGCATCATTTTTGGCAAAAAATTTGAAAACATCAAAACAGCTATTGGTGAAATGCATTCCTCATATAGAACAAATTGGAGAGATGTGGTTGTATTATGCAGTCATGTATTGAACACATCCCTGACTCACGGAACTTGTACCTGACTCACACATACGGAATTTGTACCTGACTCACAGATACGGAACTTGTACCTGATTCACACATATGGAACTTGTACCAGACTCATGCATTTGGAACTTGTACCTGACACATACCTCCTGAAAATTGATCCTCAACCAGAATGCTTACCACTGACAATGGAACACATTCTAGCTAATTTTGTTGATTTCCACCACACATGAAAAAAGTATTTTGACATGAACTGCTTGAAAAAGTAGTACAAGGATGTACCATCTGAGAAAGTATTGGACTAAATTTTTTGTGTGGAATGCAATAAATTTGAATGATGTTTTAGTGATTAACATGTTGTGACTCTATCTGTTATTTTATGTACATTTAAAGAATTTTAACATCCTTATGTTTGACATTTTATCTGGTTGTACCTAATGTTTACATTTATTTTTAGTGCAATTTATTTTAAAATTTTTAACTTTATCTTTAGTTGGCACTTCATAGCCACTTTAGTCCCAAGGTGCTGCAAATGACTTCAACATGCATATATACTATGTGTGCTCATTGCACACACACACATTCTCTTTTTTTAAGGGAGATAACTTCCAGTTCACACCCAGATCTGGCTTAAATAGTGTAACAATTTCCATAATGGTTCATAGACCATTCCATTCTGGTTCTACATTTTTTAAATTACTCAGAAACTAAGAATAATACTTTTCAATTGTGATGTCACCAATTTGTCAGTACATGCAACATGCATGATTTAGTTACTCATACAAAAATGACCTGTTCCTTAGATTATGTTTGCACAAGAGCACAAAAAAATTTACATA